GGTGCCCAGCGACAGGACAAGGGGCAATGGGCACAAACTGAAGCAGAGGAAGTTCCAGCTGAACACGAGGAAGAACTTCTTCCCTCTGAGGGTGACGGAGCCCTGGAACAGGCTGCCCAGAGGGGCTGTGGAGTCTCCTTCTCTGGAGATGTTCAAACTCTGCCTGGACAAGGTCCTGTGCAGCCTGCTCTGGGTGACCCTGCTTGGGTAGGGGGTTGGACTGGGTGACCCACAGAGGTCCCTTCCAACCCCGACAATTCTGTGATTCTGTGAAAATTTCAATAAGCAAAAAAAGTCTTTGATGGACCAATGCAAAGAAATACCAGTGAATAACACCTACTGAGGACCTTTTCTCCCCTCCCTTGAAAAGCCCCCCACTTCGTACTACGCAACACTTACTTTTCCAGTATGGACATAATAATTGGAGGTAGAACCAGTATAGGCATTGGCAGGACCACTCTAGTCAGGGCTGTTTCTAGCAGTGCCTGAAAAGAAAAAACAAACAAACAAACCCAAGACATTTAAAACAAATCTCAGGATGTACCTGAGCTGAGCAATCAACACGCGGGCACAGGAATGGCTTGGCTGGCCTTTCTTGTGTCGCATACGTGAAGGAATTTACCAACACACCCTCTCAACTTCGCTCTCAGCTACTTGTATACCACCCATTTTTACTCTGTTGCTACAAACAGTGGGCTGGAGCCCATGCTTGGTCAGAAACCCAGCAGAACAAACACCTAATAGCTTCTCTGATTTCACTTTACGGGACCAAAAGCGCTCAAACATCCCGTCATATTCCTACACAAAAATCTTAGTGCTGCCTGGAGGAAGAAAGAGAGGCAAACCAGCTGCCTGGAAGATGTTGTAAGGTGAAATATCTCAGCATGGGCTGAGCAGCAGCTTCAACCCTTCCTCCCTCAACTGAGTTTCGATTTCAATTACTTGCTGGGGGTACGCAGCACCTTCTTGCCTGCTCCAAGACTTGCTTCTGTTTTTTAATCTCTGGTGCTTTACTGCAAAGCATCGTAACACACAGAACTCCCCTCTCCCAGAGAGACGCCCAACTGTGGAGCTGCAGCCATCCCTCCACTGGTGCCCTCTCCCTGGCAAGAGTCACCAGGACATAGCATGATACGTATAAACTACCCCGAGATGAGACCCCAGAGAAGATCATGGGCTCTCTCGCAAGGTGTGTAACCACCCCTGTGTCTTCATTTACCTCTTCCAACCACCTTGGCCAGCAGCCACCTGGGATGCCCCAAGCGCTGCGACCACCCTTGGGGCCTTGGCAGACCTGGGCAGAGGATACTACAGATTTTGGATGGACCTGCTGAA